TTGTCAGTGAATCACCAAAAATATTCATCAGTTGTAAAAACAGACAGAAATTTCAGATGATTAAAATGAAGAACATTCTGCCGATTTTGGCCAAAATTAACGACCAAAAATCGATTCTGAAAACCTAAGGACCGTACGAACCCTGTGTAACTACCACAAAGGGTAATTAGACATTTTGGAAAATATCTTGTAAAATGAAACATATTAACAAGATTCTAGCTTTGAACATTAATGGGAGAGTTATAATATGATACGAAAAATAACAAATAAAACTGATATAAAGAATAACATGTAAAAGACTATTTTGCCTCAAAACACTTTGTTCCTCACTTTACAATTTGATCTTTTTTAACCGACAATTTTAGCCTTGATTTTTTTAATTTTGGTCATTTATAATTTGATAATTTACTGATTCGTAATAGCATCCCAAATTTTGTTCAGGTCTTTTTTTATCATTATTTTCCTCGTTTAAATCTAAGCAGTATTAGTGCGCTTTGGATTACTATTTTTCTATAATTTTTCGGAATTACTCCTATATCAATAACTAAATTAAAAAAAAAAAAAAAAAAAAAATCTTTTATACCAATTACGAAGTTTACGAATCATTTCACCTAAATGGTATAGCTACATAAAATAGCGCTTGTGACAAGACTTTAAACTGTGCCCCTTTAAAATTATATTAATATCTTTTTGATTTGTTTTCATGAACAGGAATGCACCAAAAGGCGCCCCCTGCCAGCGACGCCAATGGTAGACGACCCTAGATAACCACAGACCCTACGGAGTATCAATTCTTGTTAGTTCTCTATAACTTTACACAAGTTTTCTAATTGTAAATTGCAAAATCGTAATTGCAGTTTTATTATCAGTTGCAACATCAATATCTTCGTCTTTGAAAACTAAGCGAAGTAAAAGAGAAAATATGTTACACCAAAAAACGTTTCATCTGCTGAAGTAGAAAATCTGCAACCTAAGCATGTAAAATTATTTCATTTTTAATTAGAAATTTATATAATATTATAATATGCAATCATATATTCAACACAAGTAACTTTTAACATGCAAATAAAATTTCTTTTTACCTTGCTGCAAAACCTTTTATTATTTTGATTATTATTTGTTAGCGGCAGCCCTGGCTAACAAATCTGCACTATTATTATTTTTTTATTCTTCAGTTTACTATAATCTAAAGGAGAACCAGAAGAAAATGCAAATGTTCACTTTACAAACTCTGATAAAATGTCTTTAAAACAAATCGCTATCCTTGAATGCGAAACGTGAATTACAGGAAATATTTGCAGCAAAACTGTGTTTAAGAAACATTGAATGATGACAAAATGGAGCACATGAAAAATGAAAAGTTTCGTCAAGGTCGGTAAAAAAAAATCATAATCATTCATCACAAGTGATAAATATTTTCCTTAACAAGCTTTTTTTTTTTTTAATTCATATATTTTAAGAGACTTCGCTTTCAACTTTGTACTTATTTTTGGCTATACTTTTCCAAGAACTGTCATTTAAGTTGTTCATTATTAAAGAAGTTACCTTATATTTTAACCGTGGAAGGTGATGATATTTAAGTATTTTATAACTTTCAACAAAGCCTTCTTAGTTTTTCTTTTAAGAATGTAAGCTATGGGTTCTATTAATTCATGGTTCCAGATAAACATTTCTCTAATGATGTACGCATAAGAGTTACACATTTTTTTCTTTATGCAGTCATGAAAATTGCTTCAATTTTGCTTTCCTTTTAGAACTCTTTTCAAGACAGTAATAAAATCAACAAAGAGTTCATTAACATTTATTGGTAAAGAAGCTGCTCCTTTTTCAGCTGCTAAATTTTAGAGGTACACTCCAGAATATGAAAATACGAGTTTTCTTTTTCTCGAGATCACTGCACTTATAAAACCTACCAATACTGGTGTTTATCTGCACTAAAAGTCACACAATTATCCAAAAGAACTCCTTTCCTTAGAGTTAGACTAAAAATATAGTATCCCCTTTGAAAATGGGAACAAAAAGTAAACTACACTCAACAGGTCCCACTCTATTGTTGAGCCTAAGTGATCAGTATAGTTATATTCTAAGCAATCAGGATAACTGGCACCCTGTATAAATAAATATTTTTATCAATTCAAAGCAAAGTATACTTTTATTTCGATTCCACTCTCTGAAAATCAAAACTTTAAGTGGCTGCCTATGTCATCTATGCTTAAGAGCTGACAGTCAATACCTGAAACCATCGGATTAAAAAAGTAGCAATAGACAGTTTCGAATTGGTATTATTTCTCCCATCTGTAGAAAAGGTATCAAATGAAATCAACAACTGGAGACTTATTTTTACTTACCCATGTTCTCGAACAAGTGCAGTCATTTTTGTTCTTGCCCATGAGCATTTATTAGCTATTTTGCTACTGAGAAATACTTCTAAATATAAGTAACATTCAGTGACAGATTGTGGTCAAGCAAAGTGGCAGCAAATAGGCATTCTGCATCGATTCTTCCACCAAGCAAAATAAAAAAACTGCAGTGAAAACCGTACACATCACACACGCATTACAATTTCTTGATGAAATAATACAAAGAAAGTCATGTACACGTTTTTTAAAAGTACATGAGTTTTTTGTCCCCCTTCCTGAGACATAAGACAAAAATCGCAAATCCATAAATAACTTCAGCACCAGAAACTCACCACCATTTAGCAAAGTCAGAAATGCAGAACTGCTTCTGTCCTACTTTGTGCGCAACTAGTTTGATGCCCATTGGAGAATGACATTTGATCATAATGTTTTTTGACACATCTATTCCACATGCATATCAATAAGGATTAGTGAATTTTTTTTTTAAATAATGGATAATTAAACTTCAGAATTTGCATTTTTGGTGATAATAACTAAATATTTAGCCAAACTAAATAAAACTGTGAGAAATTTTAGGAATAAAATAATGTCCAGAGAAATATGTGCTAACTGGGTTGGTGCGAATTGTGGTACTGATTTAGTATATGGGGCAAAATCAGCAGTATTCTGGCTTTCTGTAGCCATATATTTCTGGATGCAATCTGAAGCAAATGATGCAGCAATGACAATATGGTATTTCATCTGATGGATTCAACAACTTACATATGGATAATGCTCAACAGAATTTTTCATTTTTCTTTTCCTGCTTTAAGAATGCTGTATCTAGGATGGTAACAATTAACTCTCAGCCTTTTTATATAGCACAATAACAATCCTCAATTCCAAAATTTATTTTCACCTATACAAACACTCATATTTAATATTTATTATGAGTAACTCAAAATCTCCATTTCATTTTGCTAGAATTTATTCTTAATTTAGGTTTTGAATATACTTTATATTCTAGATATCCACTTTCTATAAGACTGCAGTATTAAAAACTTCTAGAGCATGGGTTCTCATCTGGGGAAAAATTCACAGCTTCAGGAGGGAATACAGTCAGCCTTTTATTTAGCTGTTAAGTATTTCAATTTAATCAAAATCGTAAAAACAACCTTTTATTCAGCGTAGGTATAATGAAACACTCGGGCAGCTAAAGGTCCCTCCTCATCAGGAGAAAGAAATACCTAGAAAGAAGAAAATAAAGGAGAACGAGTCTCAGAAACACATGGTCCTTATCATCACTGCACATGGTTATAACTGGATTTTTAATCAGAGTTTGCACTGGCCGCCTACTTTTACTGAGCCAGGCTATCTGATCAAGCATAAAGGACAAGAAAAATCAGCGAAGTTAAAATAGGGAGCGAGGGGGGCAAATGCACCTTCAGACTCAAAATTTGAACTTCAAATAATGGAAAGCAACAACTGAACAGATTTTTATACCCTCTAGTAGTACCAAACGCGAGGAGGTAACGCCATCTATCGGCAAAAATAACTGAATGAAGATAGTAGAATTCTAAAGGCATTAGGAAGGACTGGATAGGACTTCAAATCATTAACTAAACCTGCTAAATCTTTGTGAATGTGAAAAGCCTCCAGAAAATCTAATTCACCTATGGAAGAAGCCTTTTGGATAATTTTTGCAGACCCAAAGTCAAAAAACTTATTTTAACTTCGCTGACTTTTCTTGTCCTTTATGCTTAATCAGATAGCCTGGCTCAGTAAAAGTAGGCGGCCAGTGCAAACTCTGATTAAAAATCCAGTTATAACCACGTGCCGTGCTGATAAGGACCACGTGTTTCTGAGAATCCTTCTCCTTTATTTTCTTCTTTCTAGGTATTTCTTTCTCCTGATGAGGAGGAACCTTTAGCTGCCCTCGAAATCGATTGAGTGTTTCATTATACGTACGCTAAATACAAGATTGTTTTTACGATTTTGATTGTCACATTAGCGTGTTTCTCTTCTAGTCTATTTCAATTTAGTTTATGAATATAAAAAAGTTTAAGTTTTGTTATTTAGTAATATTTCCTGTAACTTTTATTGTTTACTTTTAAAAACACATAAAAAACAATATAAATGTATACATATTTTTTTAGTTTTGGAAAGCAACAGTAAAAGGGATGCATAAGGCAAGACAGGTTGAAAACCACTGCTCCAGTGCAACTGACTGTAGGCAGACAATTCTGAATAAGGGAAATTATTAAATAAGATAAACCTTCAGACAAGAAAAATCTTGATTTTCATATCACAAGAATATACAAAATTTAAATTTTGGAGGGATATATTGCATTTTCACAGCCAAATTCTATACTTTGATTCCCCCTGTTCCTCCAGTGCACTTTCCAGAACATTGAAAAAATTCCAGAAATAACTTTTCTTATCCAAGCATTTTATTAAACAATTAATTATTGATTAATTTTGATATTCTAAAGTAACAAGGTTTTCCCCTCTTTCCATTTACTTACAGTTTCTCAATCTTTAAACACAGTTAAAAATATAAAAAAACAGGTAATTTGAAACAATATATATATATTAAAAGGAATATGAACACTTCTACATGACATAACTTACTAAATTTTACACTAAAAAACTTACACTGTGTATATAAATGTAATTTTTATTTCAATTCCTCACTTTTCATACAATCTTATTCATGCATTCATTATTTACAGTTCATTCTATCTCACATGCATAAGAACATTTCAAATGAATAACACATTTTCTCAGTTTTCAAGGTATTCTCGAAGTTGTTGCATAGTTTCAACATCAACAGTGGACATGAGGTCTTGGAATTTTGTAGCTCCTACAGACTGCTGAAGTGCCATAACTTGATTGTAAAGATAGTCTCTTAACACAACTGTATATACTGGATCTATCCTAGAAAGCTGAAATAAAACAAATTTAATGTTGCATCCCTAAATGTTTGTTTGAGTATGTTTACATCTCTTTCAATAACACATCAGAGCCATTCCTTTTTACACTACTGTTTTTCAGTTCAAGACAAACACTTCTTAATTTTTTGCACCACTTTTCTCCCCATATACGCAGTGAATTTATTTAAAAGGGGGGGGGGAATCAGAGCACGGCATAAACTTGGCACTAAAATCCTAAAATGAGAAGGAAAAAGGAAGTGTATTGCCTCTAACTCAAACACATTACAGTTTATGCATGCAAAAAAGCTAGGTCCAAGATTTTGCCAACAAGGTGAAAATTGCAGGTGAAAAACAAGGTGAAAATTGCAGTCCACAACAATACTAAACTGCTGAAATTTTTATGGGAGGAATCATAATCTGCAGTCACTCTAGTAAAATGTCTAGAGAAATGGAAAGCCATCTGAGGGTGATGCTATGCACCTACCAGTGTTGTCACATAAAGACGTTTTGGTGACATAATAAACACCTTTGATGCATTATATCAGTACATTTTTATAGCTTTTTGGTGGAGATGACAATAATCAAAAAGTAACCTCCTCTTTCTATAAAAGAATGAAACCTTAATTTACAAACATAAAGTGAAATTTTATATTTATTACTTAAATGACACCTGAGTTAAAGTGCTTATTTCAGAAAAAAAGTGAACACTGCTCCCACACTCTTACATACTATTTGTTACTCATATTATAGATAATTAACTGACTAACAATTTTAAATGTTTTCTAAAATTCTTACTGACATATGCACATATGAGGTAAATGTATTAATATCAACATTACATTAATATTTAAGCTGCTTATAATTTGAGAAAATTTTAAAGCTGCAACACATGCTACACGTTTTTAACTAATTAAATATAATTCATACCATTATTAATTTTTGAGAAAATTAATTAAGAATAATCTGAAATTAAAATTATAAAAAGAATCCAATTATCTGTATGAGATTGAAAAGATACAAATTAAATTAATAAATAATATAGAGATGTTCAATATACCTCTCGTTTCCTCTTATCGTGCTCGGTTTCGATATCTTCATCAGCTGTATCAAATTCATCAGGCCTCATTACTAATAGGCTACATTAAATAGAGCAAGTCAGTAAGAATGTTTACTATAAGAATTAAAATACAATTCATAAGGCTATTTATAAACATTTAATTTCTTTTTCTTCAGTGAGGTAAGCTGATAATTTGGATTGTAATTCACATAATTCAGAAAATAGCTCAGTTTCAGCTTTCAAAAAGTCGCATTCAGTTATTATGACACTTATTATTTTCTCCCAGACAAATTGAGATATAATACAATACTGTAGAATACATTAAATATTTTGGTGATGTTTAAAAAAGATATGATAATTTTGTTTCATATGTTATTTTTGATGCAATAGAGATAGCCACTTACTCAACAAACATTTACCTCTTCTAATTGAAAAATTCCATATGGAAGAGGAGAATTATTAACATAGTTCGTACTACAGGTAAAGGCAAGTGTCTACATATGGAATTATTTTGTGAAATATTTCCCAAATTAAGTAATTTGTAATATATAAACTTGATAAACAATAGGCTTATAAACATTATCTAAACAATAGGCTTATAAACATTATCACACAAATATCACGTACATTTTAAACAAGAATTTCATTCATTCCTGAATACATATTAAGTTGTGCATAATGAATAGTAAGCAATATAGCAGACTGGATTAGATAATTTGACTACAGAATAGATATCTATTGGAATCTATATCTAATGGGAAGGTTATCATCGCTGTTTTTTTTTTTTTTCCCCCTAATGGAAATTTGTTAGGATATTACACATCCAGATTAGTGAAAAGTTAATTCAACAGCAATATTACCAGGAAGTTAGATTACTGAATAATATTAATTAACCAATGGAAAGTAGATTGTTAAATAATACAACCACACTAGTAGGAAATACTCTATCTGGCCAGAAGTGTTTGGACAACCCCCCCCCAGAGAAGAGAATCTGACAGATATGTAATTTAATGCATATCCGAAAGCTATAAAACTGTTGGTAGTGGTTTCTCAGGTCTTATTTCATCAGACAACGAGCAAATCGAAGGAGCTTAGCGCTTAGAGACTTTGATCATGGCAGTATAGTAGGATGCCACCTTTGAGGGAGATCAGTTTGTGAAATTTTGTTCATTCTACAGAAGTCTAAATTCACTGTGAAGGATGCAATTGTTAAATGGATACATGAAAGCAGTGAAACTGCAGAAAAACGAAGTGGCGGGCCAAATAAATTAATGAATGCAGCTGTAGAACTTTGGAAAGGGCAGTGAAACAAAATCGCAAGTCCTCGTTGGTTGAAATCACTCAGGAGTTCATCATATGTTAGTGGTACCAGCAGGACTATTTGCCAAAAGTTGGGGGGGGGAACTGAGATTGGTCTATATGGTCATGCAGCCACTCACAAGATGAACATCCCTACCCAGAATATGAAGTGTGGATTGCAATGATGCAAAGCTCACCATCATTGGACTGTGGTCATGTGGAAAAATTTTCCTTGCAGTGACGAATTTCACTTTACAATCTGGCAATCTGATGGATGCATTTAGGTTTGGCAGACGACCAGCGAGTGCCCCTTAAGTGACTGCATTGTGCCAACTGTAAAGTTTGGTGCGGGCAGGCAGCATCATGGTGTGGGGTGTTTTTCATCGTTTGGCCTGGCTCCCTTAGTTCCATTATTTGGAAATATGGGTAGAAGATGTATATGGACATTCTGGACAAAGCTGCCCTCCCAACTTCACGGCAATATTTCAGGGAAGGCCCATTTCTCTTCCAGCAGGATAACTGCTCCATTCACCTATTGAAACTAGCACAGCCATGGTTTGACGAAATGGGTGTTCAAAAACCTGACTGGCTTTCTCACAGTCCCGATATAAATCCCAAAGAACACAATGAGGACAAATTAGAATGCAGATTGCGTAACCAGCCAAACCGACTGTCATCACTCACTTCAGATGTGATGGACACCTGGAAGTCAAATCCTATGGGCACCTATCGAAAACTAGAGGAAAGTCTCCCCACATGTGGGCAGGATGTCATCAATGCAAAAAGAGAGACTGATACCATATTAATATATGCCTTAGGATTCTCCAAGTCCATACCACTTGGTGCCAGATACTTTTGGGCAGATAGTGTAGATTATTAAACAATACAAAGAGACTACCACTTTGTATTAACTGCTAATTTTGTATATACTGATTATTATTCTTACAGCACTGTATATTGCATAGAGGCAAGGGCTTCAAATTTTTCTACTTACATCTGCAGTTTCCCAAATGGATCACTTCACTTACATTCAGCATCTGATATCCCCTTATTAGGGTCACCTGAGGTGCAAGTAACAGCAGGAAGAACATTCAAGCTGAAACTTGCATTGGATTTTCAGGTTTGGAGTAGTGCTTCTTCAGTTACATTTCAATCACGGAAGAAATTTTATTTTAGTTGTAATTAAAGAACTCTGTAAACATGTCAGCTCTGATAGAACCTAAAACACACCTTTACATCCACAGTCAGATGGCATGGTAGAGAGGTTTAATTGAACCATCCTTAATAATCTCTCCCTCCTTTTGGTTTTCAGAAACCATAAGGACTGGGACAGAAGCTACCTCTGTTTTTATAGGACTTTTGTATTGTGTCTTCAAAACAACCTCCTATTCCCTATCCCAGATGCTCTTCAGCTGTGATCTTCATCTGCCTTGCAATGTGTTTGTTGTTTGGTCATTGGTCATCCTCTGGATGTGTCTTCATCACCTGAGAAGTATATTCAGGTTTTCCAGGCATGGTTTGAAGTGAGGCACAGTTTTACATGATAGCAAGTCAACTTGGAGACAGAGAAGATGAAGACCCGATATGACACGAAAGCTACAGGATATCAATTCGACAAAGGAGATGAGGTGTGGTTGTGGGATTCGAGGAAAGGACTTTCTCCTAAACTACCATCACCCTGAGACAGTCCTAAACAGGTTAAGCAATATCACAGTTCAGATCCATAACTCATCAAATTCTAAGTTTAAAGTTGTTCACTATGACAAGCTAGCCCCTTACCATGGTCATAGTAATAAATATCTTTCCCATTATAATGTGCAACTTTGAAAAAGATACTACACTTCCACGTTTTTATGGCTGACTGCAGATTAAAGATGAGCATGAAATAAATATATAAAAATAAACATTCATTTAAAAATAAGTAGCAATACTGTTAATATGCAAATTGCTTTTTGAAAATTTGATAGTTACTTCTCATCTGTAATAAATACAGAAAGAATATAAAGAGGAAAAGTCCACTCACTTTGATAATTCAGCAGTAATTCCTTGATATTTAATAAAAATGAAAGACAAATACAATGGAGAGAGATTGTTGTTAGCAAAACTTGCCTGCACTATTCTTCCCATAATTAGCTCCAGGAGATAAAAAAATAAGAATTGCCTACATACCATGATAAATTCAAAAGATATCATTTTCAAACATATACAGCAAAAAGCATTAGCAGGCTGCAAATGATATATTAAATTATCTAATCCATAGAATGCCACATAACTTTTCCATCAGTAACTTTATGATGATGTTTCAACATTTGGGGATCAGCTTTCATATATATAAGCCAAAGAAAATTTACCATAAATTTGTTTTGCTTGCTGTTACTATTTTTTCTAGACAACAGCTAATTAGACTAGAATTCCATTTTAAAGTATACTTTGCTATATTTAAAAAATTAGAGCAGTACATGCATTTAAGACAAACATTCAAGAATAAAATTTAGCCCATTTTTTGAAATTCTGCATTTAGAAAAAGTATCAGAAAATATCTGGAAGCAATCAGAAACTAAAACTGCTTAAAGTTTCAATTTCAGTCCCTACAGTGTATCTACTATAACAAGAATACTAAGACCATTGTCCTATGTGTGTATAAATTTGTAAATTCATGCCTTTATTTATTGATTTAGTATTTTATTAGTTGTATGCAATTTACTGAAATTATTTTAGTATTGCATTTAGTATCCAATTATTGATTTTCCTTAGTTTTAAGTATAACTTCCAGTTTAGGATGTGCAGTCCTTGAGAAGGGGGCAATGTTACAAACATTTTGGTGAAATCAGAAACTAAAAACTGATAAAGTTTTAATTTCAGTTTTAAAAACATTGATTTAGATTTACTATATTAATTGACAGCTTTATGGCATAAAATAAAATTTTCAACTTAGAAGAAAAACGAGTGAGAAACAATATGATATACTGAATAAATATAAAATATTTTATTACTTACTGAATTCAACTTAACTTTTTTCCCGAATTCCAGATGCCCGAGTTTCATTTCTTATATATTTCTTTTAAATGTTAGTTGGATATTTATCTATTTTAAACACATGATTTAGTACAGTAGGTGTCACTTAATGCGATTGCGGTTAATGCTACCATTCAAATACTGTTATTGATTTGTTGAAGTCCAGGCGTATGTATACTAAAGGACTAGAAAATACACAGCTCATTGTGATCAACGAGTTGATTATGTTAACCAAATACAATAAACTTTATAAACTGAAGTAAAATTATCACATAATGTTAAAATAACATACAGATATTGCCCAATGACAGAGCTGTGTCACCAAGAACTTAATTTTCATTTAAGGCAACTTTGTACAACTTTGTTCGTTTGTATTATAGATTTGAGAAAGATCAACTGGACTGAATTGTTTAACAGAGCAAAACTATAGATCACCTTGTTTTTTGGCACCTAAATATCGCTGCTTATTTTGAGTTTTACTCTTTCATGAATATCTTGTTTGTTACACCAATTATTTTATTTGGTTTAGTCATTTTTAACATGGAGTCACACAAAAGGCATAATGATCTAAATCTGAAAAATAAAGTCAACTTGTTAAATTTTTATGGTTAAACTTCTAAAAATGAGTAAACAGAATACTGCTCTTAAGTTCAGTATTCAACCCTTCTTATGCAATATTTTGAAGAATTAATAAGACGTTTTCTGCAAAACAGAGCAAAATCGAAATGAAAGAATAAAATGGATGCATATCAAGGTAGATCACAG